TCTCACTAAATTTGCAGGCAATGTGGGGCAGTGTGGCAATCAAGAACTGGAGCGTAGCCATTTTTGATCTCCCCTGGGTGATTCATAACAATGACTTGAGCAGTAAAGGTTGCGGCTTCCTTCGGGGGAACGTTCTTCGAATCGCCTGCAACATTACCACGATGGATATCTTTGACGGAAACATTCTTCACATTAAAACCAACATCGTCACCGGGCAAGGCCTCTGCAAGGGCTTCGGGATGCATTTCGACGGACTTGACTTCTGTTGTTAATCCTTGAGGAGCAAATGTCACGACCATACCAGGCTTGATGATACCAGTCTCGACGCGACCAGCAGGACCAGTACCAATACCACCTATCTTTTAGACATCTTGCAACGGAATTCGGAGAGGATTTTTTGTTGGTCTAGATGGAGGTTCCATTTTATCTATTGCATCTATAAGTGTATGACCTGAGTCATTTAGGCTTTTCCCCTCCTTCGTTTTTGCAATGTCCCAACCTTTAAACCATGGCATGTTGAGACTCTTTTCTATCATATTATCACCGTGCCACCCAGAGATAGGTACGAACGGGACCACAGCAGGGTTAAACCCGACTTTCTTGATGTATCCAGATACTTCTTTGATAATTTCCTTGTATCGATTCTCAGAGAAGGCAGGTTCAGTGGAGTCCATCTTATTGATTGCGACAATTAACTGTTTGACACCCAGCGTGTATGCCAACAGAGAGTGTTCTCTAGTTTGGCCATTCTGTGAAATACCGGCCTCAAACTCACCAACACAAGCAGCAACAATCAGTATAGCTAAATCAGCTTGACTTGTTCCTGTGATCATATTCTTGATGAAATCCCGATGACCGGGTGCATCAATAACTGTGACATTGTACTTATTGGTTTCAAACCTCCACAAGGCAATATCGATAGTGATACCACGCTCACGTTCAGCTTTCAGTTTATCCAACACCCAAGCATATTTAAAAGAACCCTTAACCATCTCAGCAGCCTCTTTCTCCAATTTATCAATAATACGTTTGTCAATGCCAAGCTGTGGTTGTGTGTATGTTTTAAAGAGAGTTAAAAATAATTCTAAGGGGACTACAAGTTGTATTCGCACACAGCGAAGATTTGCATTATCATTGACTACATCTGCAGTGTGGTTTGAACTGATGTTCAAACCCCCTATGGTGATTAGACAGAGATCGCTTCCTGACGACACATTTATGAGCGGACTTCCACATAGGACATAAGTTTTTTAGGTCGCATGGAGCAGAAGATTCATGACATGACATATCCACTAGCTAAATTCGGCACGTCGTCCAGTGCCCATTCCTCTATTGTTGTTAGATCCTTTTGAAGAGCAAGTGAATCGTTATCGCTTCTTTTGGACCTCCGTATCTCAGCCATCTCCAGGTGGGTAATGTCTTTGCCATTTGGAATGATGAAAGCATATGCACCTTGGTTCGTAGGTTTCCTTTTAGCTTAGAGAGAAATTTTGGGTATGCTATTATTTCGGCTGCTAGCTTAGTCAGTAAGTGTCTCCTAACGCCTCGAACCTTAGAATTGCATCTTTTTCTCGATGCGAGCGTTCAAGGCTATGCTTAACACATATTATTCCTTCCAGTTGTGTGATTTGCCTCAGGTATATTGTGTAAGACAGCATTCTGAATTGTCTTTCAATGTTTGCCAGTGGTCATCTAGTGTTAGCTTCCATCATTCCCGTGTGCCTAGAAAGTGCAGAAGATGCTCTCTCATGGTCGTGTAGTTTGTCATAATGTAGCACATATGGGAAACATTTTCTTGCACCACGAATATTTCGTCAGTGACCATGTTAAACATGAGTGCTGAATGGTCACTGACTCCGAATGGTGAGTGGACATGGACATCATCGACCAGGAGCTGATCACTTGTGACAAATTATTCAAAGTTTTTTGGCGAATCGATTAATATACTATTCCGCGGGATAACAAATGTTAATCCCGTAACTGTATGATAATAATAATTTATTCTCAAATAACGAACATGTTACAAGAGGCATGCCAATATACAGGTAAGATCAAAATGTTAATATCGGGAACATATTTCTTTTAAAACGGTATACAGTCACTGAAATATTTCATAAGATACATTGGCTCCATTTAAATGGTCTAAAGTGTACAACGCGAATAATTGGCGTGATTTTCGGTGGTCGCGGTACAATGAGCTTCTTAATGACCGTGAAACAATGCAAGGTAGAGCCAGGTCTGCATATAACAAGAATTGATGAGGTAAATGTGCTAAGAACTGGTTGATAAATTAACAGGCCCTTGGGTAAAGTAACGAAGTCTTCGGCTAATATCCAGAATAATACATAAGTATTGGAATAAGGCGCTGAAAAAAGAGAAATAAAGAGAACGGTGCAAGGAGCAGAATAGAAAATATTCTTGTTCAAAGACGAACAATGACTCAACACATACGTTTCTGGATAAAAGAAGGTATGTTTACTAAGACTTTTTTTCATTACAAAACTAACTGTACACCTGCATTTGTGTAGGTCAATGAAGACAGTTCAGTAGTAATAAAACGAACGGACATTTAATCTTGTGAATAAAGGAAATTCAGTATAATCAAATCGTTAGCAACAATTTACAGAATATAATAATGAGACTCAGTGATCTTATGTTTTTATCTTATTTTATTTGTTCTTTTTGTAGAATCTTTTTTGAATGTTTTGTTTTTTGGGAAATCCCTCCATGTTTATATATTTTTGTTATGACATGAAGGATTTTTTCTGTTGACATTTTGGTATTTTATTTGATTCCAATTTGAGATTTTATCATTGTATATTGTTATTATTTCTATATTTTGTACTTATATTGAAGTTTTTGTTTGCTTCTGAACTGTACATATGTTGTTTAAATTTGATATAATATGGCTACAGCCATATTTGTATTTGATACTGTTGCGGTTGGATCTAGCATCACTTATTCTTTTTGAACTCGGATACTCATCAGAGTAATTGGGACTTGGAAAGTGTATCAAAAGTCAGGTATTGGTTTGTATTTCCATTTTAACATAATATAGACCACTTTCTCCTAGAATTATTGTGTTCTGATATTGGACTAGGAGAGGGGTGCGTTCGACTTACACTTACTGGAAACAAATTGAACTGCTACGGTAGAAAATCCACCTACACTTTTTATTTTTAACTCTGTGGCTGAAGAAGTTATGAATGAGCTCTTTTTCTGTATAATTGTCCAGATCTGCTTGTAATAGGATTTCCTGGTAGGATGTTTGAACCAGTGCAAGGTTACTGACATGAGTCGTAGACGAGGTTAATAAGGAAAATTAGCATCAATATCACTTGTTAGCTATATCCTGCTATATCGTAAGGAGCCGTAAGCAAACAATATTTTCTGCCACACAGACATGGGTAGATTGAATAAATGATGGTCAGACACACCACCCTCCCTCCTTTTGTGACTTTAGGCTCTCTTACGTTTAATCAAGTCAGATGTAACGTAGAACTTCGTACGTAAGTACATCAGTTCATGTCGCCATACCACAACAGCACAGAGGTGTAATTGTCAATTCAAATTCAATAGGAGAAGAGGTAGTAAAGGTATTAGTGGAGATAAGAGAGGTGTGTGTTGGTGTAGGAAGGATTTGATTCCGACCAATTTCCTCTCGTGTGCTATTACGGGTATGAGGGCGGTTATCACTTCCCGGCTGCCCACACCGTGGAAGAACGTGATATTAAAGTCGAGAAACGATATGCAAGTTGTATGACCAGTCTTAGTAATTTCATACGACATTGACGAACACTATGGACAATGTAACAATGATAAATGATGGTACTCACTTACGTTTAATAGTTGATTGTAAATAATGTTTTCTAGTCTACTCTCTATTTTTTGTACCCCTTATTGGAATTAGCTTTCTCTACTAGCTCCACATCACAAGTAATTCGGACAAATTTGCCTTGTCTTATGAAAGACAAAATATCCACGTAGCGTGCCAGACTGAGTTTAAGTAAACTGATGGTATAAATTGTAAGATACGTATCATTTGACAGGTAGTTTGGAGATAGGAAGAACAGTGAGCCGGAAAAAGAAGAAAGAGAAAAAAGAATTGGAATAATGCTAAAAATGAATGAGAAAAGCGATATGTTAGTGAGCAGGCAAGGTATTTGGATGTTAATGAATTGGGGAAATAAAAAGTTGTTAAACTGTTAATACTTAAACAAGAAGGAACTCACAATGATACACGGAGTTTGAGTTCCTTGTAACTGACAGTAGTTGATCAGCATCTACAGGCTTTTCAATTTGAAAGTCTTATAGAAATAAAAACTAAAACTGTTTTGAAGGTTTGAAAATAATGATTGGAATTTAAATTTAGAGAAAAGTCATGGGTAGCACCATAAAGGCGTAACCTGTTACTGTTAGCAGAAGCAGGGGTATTTGTCTATTATTTCGTGTTACCTATATGGATGGTGATGCGGGAACAATATGTTCAAAGTCTGTAATTAGTTTCCAAGGTTTATCTAAATATTTGGTGGACCATGAAAGAGTGTCTGGTGACTTGGTGTGAGTTCCGGGAACAGCCGGTAAATCTCTCCAGTGTCTAACAACAGCACTACTGGTTTCTTGAACTTAGTAATTGTGTCACACCACACTGTAATTGTTCACCACACTGAAACTAAGGGATCTCCGGCCTGGTAACGTAATAGCTGCTGGTATCCCAAAACCCTACTGCCTTGAAACAAACGTGCTTATTTAAATTACGGGACACTCAAATCCTTAAATAATTGCCAACCGACTAATTACAGTGCAATCGAGTGTAAACCACCAAATACCTGTAACCCTAACGAAAGAACAAGAATCGAGCTGAAAGAAATCAAACCAAGAGACATACAAATCCACAACCAACTGCCAACTGACTAGAATTAGACAGTCGAGTGGCTAGACACCCATTCATTGGACACTACCAAACACCTGGAACCGTACCGAAAGAACAAAAATAGAGCGCAAAGAAATCAAATGTTTTATATTAGCTCGCGAAAAAGTTATTGGATATTGGTATGTGCTAGTTCGTGAAAAGTATATTGGATATTGGATGTCTAATAACCAAATTAGGCGCGTACATGAAAGGCTTACTAACTATCGCTTCGCAAGGTACGAAAAGTATTAACTTAAAATTTAAGACGGCTAGCAATCTCCCGGGGTAGGAATGGATGTTAGTATGATGTTGCCTCCTGAAATACACACTCATAACTGCCGATCACCAAATTTTTTGGACAGGAAACCTGATGGAATTGGCATATTACAAATTGTACTAAGCATATAATATTTAATAAAGTAATTATTATTAGTAGTAACGAAAAATTTGAAGATTATAACTTAAGCAGAGTTACTGAAAAAATGTATTAGGACCGGTATCTTGATCAATTAGGTGACAGTACTGTGCATATAAATTTACAGATTTCGCATCAACAAAAAGCTTCAGGTGGTGAAAGCTGAAATGCATGTATTAAAAATTTATTTCTCAAACCCATGCCTAAACCGTTGAATCTGAGCATAAATCTCACATCTGATGTCTCAACAACTGGAGAAATTAACTTCCGCTTTCAAATTATTCGGTTTTTATCCTTTTTAAATTTGAGCTAAAAAAACTACCCGGCATGGTTATTACATACAAAAAATCGATTTCTTACTGTCCGGACCATAAATTGTCTTAACTAGATCTCATATAGGCTAGATAATGTCCATGTCCATTTGTTCGTTTACACTCAGTAGCCTTCATGTGAGTAAAAAGGTAATAATCGATCAAATTCGGAGATATTTCACAAAAATTACTTTGGGAATGGAATTTAATCCAAGTAAAGTAGTACGATTGTCATAGTAAGACTGGAACTCCTCTGGAAAAGGAAAGTTAGGCCTAATTTTACTTTTTACTCCAAACTCATACACAGATTGAACTCCACGATTCCAACATTAAGCTTCGTCAATAAACTCATTC